TTTCTGTAACGGTACTAATTGCTTGCGATATTGTTCGGCGGTGCTTCTCCCCCCCACCCCCTCTATCTCTCTCTCTCCTCTCCTCTGTCTCTTTCGCTCCCTTCACATCCGGAAACTAATTTCGTATGTACAATGCGATCGCGCATCCTCCCGACGTCGATGCGACGACGTGCTTCTGCTCTTGCTAAATGATCCTCCTCCGTGGCAATTATTTTTTCACAGCTTTCTCAAATTAGTCATTTATTACAGCCGTTATTATCGTTGTTTCGGATTTTAATCGCGTGCAAACATGAAAGAAAGGAAGAGAGAGAGAGAGAAAGAGAGAGATAAAAACCACGTGTGTGCGTGCGCATCGTAATTTCTTTTCTTCTCTTTTTCCCCTTCTTTTCGGTTCTAATCGACTTCTTGGCCGGCGGTTTTACGAATTCGACGGTACTCGGCCGAGCCGTTGGAATTTATCTGCACGTAGAGGCATGGGAATGTGCCTTGCGTAGCGCGAACGAGTAACGTGAGACTTTGCATTCTACGCTGGTCGACGTCGCGCGATACCGCAACGCAGGTATTCCATATCGGGGTGCGCGCGGAAAAATGTCACGCGGCGAGATTTCAACGCCGCGCGAAACGATCGCAGCCGGTGATCACGCGCGATTATTCGCGCGCGTGCACCTTTGCGCGTGCGTTTTCGCCGTCCGCTGTTTCTGAATCGCGTGTCGATATTTCGGCTCTCGCGCGTTTCCTCGCGAAGACCCTCGACTTGGGTGATGAAACACGTACGACCTGCGCGACGAACTTCTCTCTCGTTTTCGCGCTTCAGATTCAGCCCCCAACGTGAAATCAAGGAATAGCCTGTACCGCACACTAGGATGATTCAAACCTGAACAGGTAGTCTGCACTCTCTAGATTTCTTGGAGTGGAATCTCATTCAAAATGAGTGAAACCATGGGCATAGGCAAGAGGGGCAGGGGGCGCTCACCTATCCCCAAATTTTGGCAGGGGGAGACAATTAAATGAAAATCGTAAGAGTAAAGAAATGTATCTGATATATTACAATCTGCATTCTGTACAAATTCTGCAGTATGTTCCGTAGTTGAAAATTAATGACCAAGTATTAGTAATACTTGATGAGAATTTAAGCTTAGGAGTTAACGAAAATTTCTCAGTCTCGAATTTCGACTTCGTACGAGTGAACGTTTCATTCGATTAGATTGAATATGTTTCTGTGACGGCGATAAAGATACGTCGAATTCACTCTTCAATTTCGAATGAGAATATTCATTCTGCTTGAGCGAAAAGTCACTCGGATGAGACTTCACTCCGAGGGATTGAAAGAGTGAGGACGCGAAAAGGCCGAAAGGCCGTACGTACCGTATCGAGCGATTTATTGGCACAATTAATAGAACAGCGTGCAAATAGGATTGATTAATCGAACGTTAATAAATGTCAGATATCGTCGTGAAATAGTCTCACGGAGTCGGCGTTTAGAAATCTAGTGGCAGATAAGTCAAGTGAAACGCCATGTGGCCTGCGTCCATTGTAGGATGATTCCTACGTATTAGCACGATTAATGCGACAGCATGCAAATAAAAATGATTAATTGCGAGTTGATACACGTGGAGTATTGTCTCTCTGGAGTAGGAACCGAACGAGCAGGATTGCGGTGGGGGAAGGAAGGGGGGGAGGGGATCAAATGAAACCCAAGTTTGCGCGTTTTGCATACCCGGAGTGAATTCGAACGTTGCTCAAAGAAGGATGAGTAAGAGTCCGCATTAAGAGTCGCCGTCGTCGTCGTCGTGAATGACTGTACAACGGAATAGACTTCGTTCCGTAATTAGCTAGTAGTAAATTCAGAGAACCGCCCGTGATGTTTTATTCATACTTTTGAGTCATATTCCGAGGAGATTGAAAATTTCGCATGACATGAAAGGAAGCAGCTCAACGAGCGGAGGACGAGGGCGATGAGATCTTGGAGAAATTGCGAATTGTGCGTGGAAGAAACAACTCTGTCAGTGTGATCGGATTTTCCGTTGTCTGGGAGCCAGATGGAAATTCGCCTGTAAGAACAGGAGAATTCTCGCGAGAGACAGAAACAGAGAGACTTTCTACACAGAAAGAAAAAAGTAAGAGAATTAAGCAATCACCTGTTTTTCAAGTAAATCGAGTGGTATTTTTATTGATTCAAGCATATTTTACTAGCTTGTAATAAGCGCTCGTTTGAATACGGTAATACCATAATTTGTAAATACATTACTTAATATAAATGTAAAATAGTTCTAAAAAATTTAAGAGAGTATTTACTAGAGTTATACGTGATACTTCTTCTCCATCGAAGAAACCTATTAGTTTAAAGTCTCGGTCTTTCTGTCCAGTATATATTTTTTAAAAATAAATTCTGATATTCTCAATATTATAAATTTTATATATATCGTCATTGTTTTATAAGATTATTTTATAAGTAAATATTTACTTTTACGAAGGAAATATATTATATATAGTCAATTACATCTCTACTTCCAGTAAATATATATTTGCCAAGGAATATTGGAATAACCATTTTACTTGAATCAAATAAATATCATTTGAGCGATAGCGCTTTTTCTCAATGTGCGAAATTGAATTTTCCATTGTCTAGAGAATAGGCAAAAACTCGGTTGTACACGGAGAAAATATTCAAATAAAAATTACCATTACGCAAATTATGATTTAAGTTATAATGTCAGCTGTAATCTTAAGTGACGTATACAAAGCTTGTCACTAAAGATTATAGCACACACTATAATTTTAGTTATAATTCCGGTATGATCCAACATTACAACATTTGTATGGTAATTTCTACTGCAATATTTTCTCCGTGTAGGGTCAGAAAAATTTCTGTAGAAAGTTTCTGTTCAGCCGATCGCTCTCGGTTGTCTCAACCGAGTTTCAATGCAGCTGAATGTTCACGCGAATGTTCGCAGCGGCGTTAACAGAGGTACCGTTTCTTGCCACCGAATTTTCACTTCTCACCGAGTTTCCGCCTGATCCCTAAATTCAGTTGCAGGAACTGACGACTTTTTCCCTGTACGAGAAAATACGAGCAAGCCATACGCATAGAAGTACGCGTGTAATTGTGGTCCTCGTGAAAAAGTGCGGGCGGACGCAGTGCGGACGCGCACATGGCGTGTCATAAGAGAAAATAACGCGCTAGCAAAGCGAAACGTGTCGTTAAACGCAAGAGCGATTTGAGGATTTATTCGTGCGTAAATCCCGACGCACGTGCGCACGGGCATCGCGTGCGCTAGCGCGGCTCGCTTGAAAGTAGAAGCTGCGACTTTTATCACAACGCGCATTACATTAACCGGGCTCTTTATCAGAACAGTAGACAGCGTGCAATGGTGTGTCGCAAACGAAACTAAAGTCCGCTCGCGAAGTTGGAATAAGCAGCGAGATGAAATCTAAGGTAGCTCAGGAGTCCGAGATATTCGAATTTGAGTAAACCGTATCTCCGAGGAAAATTTCGAAATACGAAATGTTTTGTCATTTTTCTCGTGCAATCCGCGTCACGTATGCTGTATTCTCTGGATTGAAATGTTATTGTTATTAGTTTTTAATGTTACACAATTTTTAGCCTTTCATATAAGGTCGAAACTATTATAATTAAAGTCATCCTACAATTACAACTAAAGTTACTTCCGCGATTTTCAACTTTATGCGTTACATGTAAGACTGAAAATCGTATAATTTTCCGTGTAGGGAATGGAATGGAGCATAATATGACGCCCACAGTACGGATATCGCGTGTAAAAATAAGTACAAATGCCGTCTTTGTTACGGAATGAACGGAGATAAGATAATTTGAATTTTTAGTTGTGTTTTTAAATGTATAATTGACTGAAATACCTCATAAATTTTCGATATCGCGCGTAAAATGAGAAAATTGCCGTTTTTGTTACGGAATAAATAAAAGCAAAACGATTCGAATTTTTAATTATAGAAATTTTTATCATAACATATGACACAAGTATTTCAAATATTTACGATATCGCGTGTTCAACAAAAATAATTGCCGTCCTTGTCGACAGAAGCAAAGACAAGATGAAATGATTTAAATTATGATGATAAGATGATTTAAATTTTTACCTACAGCAATTTTTCATCATAATGTATGAGTAAAATATTTCACACATTTACGATATCGCGCGTAACAGTAAAAATAATTGTCGTCCTTGGCGACGAAAGCAAAGACAAGTTGAGGCGATTTAAATTATGATGATAAGACGATTTGAATTTTTCATTATATAAACATTCTTAATTATAACGTGCGACTGAAATATCTCATCTATATTTTTTTACTTGTACACACGCCTCTTCCGTGCAACAGAAATGATTTTGGAGACCGTCTTCGTTCTCCGACAGTTTTTCCTCCTTCTTCTCTCTCTTTCTCTTTCTCACTCATACACACACACGCACACACACATACCCCCACACTCTCTCAGAGTGATGATCGCTATAATATACACACCGTGCATATTAGAGCAACGGCAATTACAAGTAACGACGAGTGCTATCAGTGATTAGCGCTCTCCGGCGGAACTGAATCAACGTGAGTCCACAATTCGTGTGCACGTCATAAACATGCTTATCTCTTATTTGTCCCGGATTACACGGCGATCGCGGCGTCTACTTCCCACGAAAATTAGGAAGAACGAGGCGATGAATTTCCCGTACCTCGAAACGCTCGAGTCTCGGCGTGCCTGCCTTTCTTTTCGCGCCTGTCTCCTCGCCGGAGGATCGCGCGAAAGAAAAAGAAGAAGAACGCGCCGTCAGAGAAACGACCGTTGCCTTTTCCCGAATCCGCCGGGATACGCAGCCCGCGCGTTGGATCAAGAACGCGAGATCCGCTTCGACGTCACACGCGGGCGTTACGAACGAACCCGCGCGAAGCGAATCCGCTCTCCTCGGCGTGCGCTCCTCGGCGGTCGAATCTCGCGCACTAATCGGCAAAATAAATGACAAGTCCTCACCGTCTCTCGGATATCTGAGGGACCGTGTTCCGCATTCCAGCCGGACGAGACAGCTCGCTGTAATCCCGTTGGCGAACGGCGCGCGGTTTCTTCTGGATCGAGTTTCTCGGTGCACACATTAAAACACCGCACAGACGACGGGAAGCAGCGGAGAGAGAGAGAGAGAGAAAGAGAGAGAGAGAGAGAGACAAAACGGGGAGAAGGGGGGAGGGGAGGTACGAAAAGAGGAAAAAATTGAAGGGAGAACAAAATGAGAGGGAGGCGAGAGAAAAAGAAAAACGAGGGAAACTTAAGACGCCCACGCGATCGCGCGGCGCGTCCGAGAGCGACTCGCCGAGTGCGACTGACTGACTGACTGACCGACTCCTCCACCGGCTCCGCTCCGGTCGGCATGCACAGTCACCGCACTTGCATCAACATACGCGTACACACACACACACACACATACACGGCCCGGCATCCACCACTCCCCGTCCCGTGTTGCAGGCCTTTCGTTTCCAGTTCCATTCCAGAGCCGACCCGGCCCCGTGCCTTTTGTGCATCTCGCGCTCCCCCACCGACGGTGCTCCTTCGCCCCGCCGAGGAGAGCGGTTCGTCGTTATTTTTCCCCCCTGAGCCTTCTCAGGCTTAGGACCGCTCTACGAACCGCCTGCCTCGTTGCCTGCGTCAAACAACCGTCGAACCGTCTTGAAACTCGGACTCGGAGATTCGACAGGGCCCTTAGGACCGGTCTTGCGTCAACCTCTCGCCTTTCTTGCAGTTTCTTTTTTCAGGGACGCGTGAGCCCCGGGCGGCTTCGGATGTGCCGAGAGAAGTGCTGCTCCGGATCCGACGAGATCCGGCACGCGACGGCTGAGCTGCGTGAGATTCTCGTCGTGCAATTATCTCAATGGGGTAACATTTGGGAGATCGTTTGACGAAATCTCGCGTAGTTTGAGACGCTACGATGGTTACGCGAGTGTGTTTAAGAAAGTACATGTGCAAATAATGACCTCTTATCAAATATTGATAATTGTTTGTGCAATTAGCTTCTGAATAATATTTCGAAACAGCAGCGATATTCGGTGAATCGTCTTAACGGGACATTTGCAAAATTAAAGTTGGGAAGAAGTTAGCCGATAATTAAAAAATATATTTCAGCTGTATTATGTTTAAAAGATTTAATTTAATCGGAATAGAAATATAATTGCGCCTGGAAAAATTAAATTGATACATGTACTTTTGCGGTAAACGCTTAAAGAAAGAAATAAGAGCGGTTTCGAAACGTGAATAGATAAAAAATAAATAAATACAAAGTTTATTTAAATATTTATGTGCTATTTGCATAAGATATTCTTTATTATTCGAAGCGATGAAGATTTAACCAATTTATAGTAATTTGGATTGAAATATTTTGTTCACGAGTGCTGCAAATATTACAAAATATTACTGCTGCATGTTACATTATTGGAAATATTGTAATTTATAATTTTGCATTTAAACATTGAAGTAACCGTATAATGATATCCCATAGAACGCTATTCCGAGTTGGATTTATCGAATTTTCAACGAATATCACTTCGAAACATCACTCAGACAAAACCGTTGTGTCATGTGTCGAATCATCTTCGCGCGATCGTCGCGCAAAATTTTTCGTCAATTCATGACACCATTATTGTGCAATATTTCCACAATTCACCTGTCCGCATAGTCGCTGATCACCGTAACGTAATCGTATTTCTCAATATCATTGGTAACTTAAATCGAGCCTAAGATAGGAGCTGGTTTTAAATAATAAACAGCCACAGTTTCACCTCCTTTTTCGTCAGATTTATTCCTCAAACCTCGTTTTACTCTCTGCGCATTCTTCGCGCGCGTCACGCACCGAAAAAATCGAGTGAAATCGCTGCGACCTCGCGCGACGAATTAATTGGCAATTAACAGCGAATTACTGATCGGACATTAAATTTCGACCGCCGTCGCGAGCGATAATTCATAATGATGATGACGTAGCCATTTAGCGTGGAACATCAACAAAGGCTGGGTATTTTGTAATTACATGCACGTAGCATCGGTAATGCGTGCAGGGCGCAACTTGAGGCCTTAATAACAACCTTTGGCGCGTATAATCGATTCCGGCGCGTCGAGTTGCAACGAGGCATCTCGAACTCGCGGGTAATAACGCGACATTGGAACCGACGGTGCAAGAATTTCCCTCGGAGGGATCACGCGGAGTCCGGTAAATAAACGGTAACGACCGCCAGCGTAGTATAAGCCGCTGTAAAGCCGTCATAAAACTGCGGCGCTATGATTATCCGTTTATGTAAATCCCGGACATACGATGTAACGGCATTCGCTTTTATTCAATTCCACTTGATTCCCGAGGACCGGCTTCCCGTGGACCGCCGATTCGAGAACGGAACGGAATAAATCGCCGAATCGCTCTTTGGCGAAAATAATTCGGCGAAGCGTCGAACCGACAAGTCGAGGATTGAAAAGTAGCGGAGAGCCGCCGGGAACTGTTGCGGTTGCCAATCGGTGCCGATCGCACACATGGTAAACCGTTTACGCGTGTTCAATCGAATATCCTGTTCCTCATTGTCCGTAATTAAGTCGAATTAGAGCACGCCCCACATATCCATCGCCCAAGGTTGCGGCATCTCATCGTCTCGCGCGACCCAAGGTGGTAGGCAACCCGGTGCACTTCTCGATGAAGGGAGAAGTATGTCGTATAATCGCCCGGATAACAAAGAACCGAGGAAGAGTGTGGAAATTTTTCAGCGAATCAAGTTACATGTTATGTTGTATGAGGCAAAATAGACTTATTATTTTACTTTGTAAACGGAGAAAAGGTTTCTTTGGATTCAGTTTACGTGTTTGTTCGACCTGTCTGTGAAATATATTGTTCACGTGTGAAATATTTAAGGAGATTTTATTGGCTGATTATTCACCGCTAATAACCTATTAACTTACACGTGACAATATTATTGTTACAAATTCGCATAACGCGCGTATATATGTAGGTGTTTATAATTATTTATAAGAGAATTTGTACTTTGATAAATATATTATAAAAGTATATAAAATACGTATATAATATATATTACAGAGGTAGGGTTTGTCTTCCTCAGTCATGTGCGCTTTAAATCATATGGAAATGTCATTTGGATTCTGAAATGTTATCTTAAATATTTGATATCTATAGCTATACTCTCTCTTGATTACCCAGTTAATATAAGTGTATAAAAGATGTCTTAGAGACATTTAAAAGATATCCTGCTTGTTTCTTAGACATCTTTCAGATGTCTCTAAAACATATTTTAGACATATCCACTGTCTGGGTAACCTCTTCTTATACTTTGAATTTTAGACTTTGTCCTCAGTGTTGTTTCACACGTCTAACGTTTTCCAAGCGGAACAGATAGAATGACATCAAAATGACGAGATAATGATCGAATTATGTTCAAAAAGTGAATGTTTATAGTCATTTTCTCGTCATCTTGACATCGTCGTGATTTCCGGTTCTGTCTGGGTTTACGCTTTTCTTTCTTATCCATTCATACAATCACGCAGGCTGTTTCTCTTTTTTTATATTCTCTGATAGGTCAATTCGCTTATTGATGTCGCTTATACTGAGACAAGAAATTCCTCGTAAAACATTGATTTCAAAGTCTGGCTGTGACACATTCACGTTATACTTCTCTTCAATTTCGTCATTGATACTCAAATTGTTCAACTTGAATGTTACATCCGGTCTGATGTGCATAGAATCCTCGGGAATGTTTTCACCTACTGAATTTCGAAAATTGTGGCCGTAAATCGACAACGCCGACATTCCTCTCGTAAAATCTACGTCGATCTTTGGATCCGCCTTTATTTTTAGCACATTTGCAAGAAGAAGCAAAATTTCCGAATTCATGTATGTTTGATAATTTCTCGTAAACGTTTGCATTAATCGGAGATTTTTATTTTCTTTAGAAAGCCGCTTGACACGCACAGTGAACATCACGATGAATCAAACGATTATATATCGCTTATTCGGCGATTACAACGTTAACGTTCACGAACACAGTTCTCGTGTTTCACATTTCTTTCTTGCTATTTCGCTGAGACACGTGATGTCCTGAAAACAATAAATGTCGTTTAACATTAATTAATCGTTAATTTGTATAAAATCGAAATATTATATGCCGCAATATTATAAAACTTGAAAGGAGAAAAAGCGTCTCCAATTAAACTTTAAAAGACCAGCATAGAAAAGATATTATAAAGATATATAGAACGAAATAAACAATTATACATTTGTCACGTACATACCGGTGAAAAAAATTTGTCGAACGGTTCCTCTTGATATCATATTAAAATTTCACTCTTTTCTCTGATTATTTCAGATATTTGTGAAATTATTGCAAAGATGATATTTGTTTACAGAAATATATAACACCGGAAACTGTTACATCGCTCCCCTGGTAATCTGTTACAAACATTGTGAGACTGACTAAAGAAGGCAAACCAACGTGTTGCCGGCGAGATCATTAAAATAAGCGTCGCCTGGTAGAAGCAGGTGAAGATAAATTTACCGCTAAATTCAATTTGCCTTTAAACTTCAGCGAACTGTAACTTCCCTAAAAATAGTAACAATGAGGTACTTCGAGAAACACTTTGCAGCTTGAAATTTCTACTTTGTTGATATATTTTGTTGAATTTCACCTGTTTCATATAATGGAAAAGTACGTTTCAGCAGTCGTGGAGTCGCGCTATTTGAAAAATAAAACATTCGATAGAATCTGGCTTGTGTCGAGTTATACTATGACCGAATTCTTCGGTAAGGATGGTGGCGACTCATAGCGGAAATTTGGGACTAATTCTCTTACGTGCAGGATTGCGTTCGGAAACACACAAGATTGCGCTCGGAAACACTACTTGATAGGTAAAGTAACATTTAATTAACCAATCTTGATGATGAAATCTTAGATTTTTTGGTTCTGATTGGTCTATTAAATGTTACTCTACCCGTTAAGTAGAATTTTCGAAAATACAGCCCAGACTCAAATCTTTTTTAATCAACCACTTAACCAAGATGCAAACCCTCCTTGTGAACGAGCTTTTTTTCGACACCAATAGATGGCGCAAGACAGCCTATCAGCCAAAAACCTTTTACGGTACTTTGACCCCTTACAATTGTTAGACCCGTTATTTTCATTAGTTCCAAAGTCTCTGTTATGAGTCGCAACTGTCTTGAAGAATTGAGGTCGTAGTACAACTGGATGTAGATCGGACGCCTCTTCTATCTTTCAAGTAGTATGACTCAACGGCTGCTCAAACATGTTTTTCCGTCATTTACAACATAGACAAAATTCAACTGGCTATAATTTCGACAAAAATGAAGACAATCAGATGGTTCAAGAAGCGTTTTAAAATTTGAAATCTTTAGTTTTTATACATATTAATATCATAACTTTGCTGTTCCTTTTCGGCAAGATATATCGAGTTGAGTGAAAAGTGGCAATCGTTCAATTTTCAACCTCATCTTTCAGTTGGCTTTTTACGACCGAAATTTATTTTTACCAATAATTTGAAGAATACAATTTAAAGAAGTGTATCTTCAGCTTTCTGTTCGTTTATTAATAAATGTCGCAAACTGCCTCGTTTACGCTCTGTTAATAATCAAATCCGAAAGGGTGTCTTTTGTTTTAACGTTAAATAATTCCATTATAAAAAATCGCACTGCAATATTTGTTAACCAAAAATTTTAAGCTACGAAACGTTTCTTCCATCTCTTTATTGTTATTTTTACGAAAGTTACAGTTTGTAGAATTTTGTCTATATTTCACGATCGAGGAAAACAATCTTTTAATTATTACACTAATATGTATACAAATTTATATTTGAAAAAGAAAATTGACACGTGTTTTATTCCGAAATATTAAAAGGAATCTTCCCTTTTTAATTGCATAGCTATATTAATGTATGTAAACGTATATGATTGAAATACAAAATAATCGACTGATTCAAATAGTTATCTTGCATTTAATTAGCGTAAACAATAATCCTTCAAACGACAAACTGGAAATAGGGAAAAATGCGACGCGCTGAAATCATGATCAATATTGCACAGCGGAGAAGAGAATCCTGGAAAAACATTTGTTGGAATGAGGTTCGTACTGTTTGGTAACCGCACGATTCTACGCGTCTCGACGGGCTTGATTGTCGAAAGGAGGAATTGTGACAATTCTGACGGGAAATATGACGGTCCCGCTTATAATATAAAGCCTGGGATGCACGACGCGTCGTGACGATCACAATGCACACCCGGGTATTCATTTTAGCTGACCGCAATTATACTCAGCGTCGTTTCCCAAACAATGTGAAAGTTTAACGGACGTTCAACGAACGAGCCCCGATCCTTACAGACACGGTTCTTTAATCTCTCCGGGATATTTCTCAGACTGCACGTTTCTCCCGAGGAGGATTTCCCGCGAGGCGCATCCCCATGTCCTTCCTCTCTCCCTCCCACCCTCTCACTCCCTCTTTCTCTCTCTCTCTCTCTTTCAACCTCTCCCAGACGCTACCGCCGTAATCATCGCGTTAATACGTCCGGAATAAAAACGGATCACGCGGGATCGCTTCTTTCCCGGCTGAAATCAGCTCGCGTCGCGTTAATCGGGAGAGAGAGGGGTGATAACCTCGTCTAAAAGCGCAGGGACACTACGAGGACGGCTCGTCGGAGGGTGCCGCTTTTTGCCGGCCCGGCGGCGTCGGGCGGAAAGAATCTGCGCACGTGCGCCGAGAGCGACCGACCTGACCTGACACGAGGAGGCGAAGGGATGATCAATAACTTCCAGGATATATAAGGCTCCGTTCCGGTAGCGTGTGCGCCTCTTGAGTTCCCGTGATCGGTTTGTCGCGCATCAACCGTAGCTCCGCCGAGCTCCTCGACCGCGCTACCGGCGACTGCGCCTCGAATTGCTCCGTACGTCAGATTACATCGGAGAGGTATTATCCACTTGGTACATAAGTGTTTAGTGTTTAAGAGAGACACACCACCGGGATATATACACATATATATATGTATGTATATATATATATGTGTGTGTGTGTGTGTCGCGGGGATTCGCCGCTCGTAGTAACGTGAGGCCCCCCGCTGATTCGCGAACGATCTCGGCGGGGATCGAGCGTGCACACGCGGCGTGTTCACCCTCGCGAGGGTTCACGCACCTCTGCCGGGGGATGTTCCTCGAGACACGGTGACGGGAGAGAGAGAACGAGGGTGGCCGGTGTCGCATCGAAGGCACGCACGTGTGCACGCGGGCTTTTCCATCACGCGACTTCCTCCGCCGCCGAGGAAGACCGGTGAATATCCGGTCGACTCTGTGCCCGAACGATCCGTCTCTTCGCCGGGTATGCTCGTCCGCCGTCGATCGATCGGCAGGCTTCCGACTTCGCGTTCCGACTTCACTCGGACGGTCGTCCCCACGTTCTGCGGAAAACCGTTCGAATTATCGCGAACATACGCTTCTCCCGGCTCGGGCGACAACGTTTCGCTGAGAGGAACGCGCGCGCGTGTATGTGTACGTGTATATATGTATATATGTATGTATATGTGTGTATATATATATATATATATATATATATGATAAATTCATCGACTGGCAGGGCGACCGTTATTAAGATTAATTGATCGATCGTTCGCGCGAAGGAAATAACGCGTCCCGCCGATATCGTACGCGAGCGTATTTAACGTCAAACCGTTGTCGGAAATATGAACGTTCTTACGAGGCTTTGCGCACATCCACGAGAGAGCGATCAGAGTCGGCGGAATGAAAGGACTCTGCTCCATAGATAGAGGCGCGGTGCCGATGACACTATACAATACGCTCTTCCGTTCTCCCGCAATTATATTTCCATTTGGTTTTCCACACGCTCGTGAGCGTACGTGTGGCATGGTGTAGGCCTCCTGGGGATCCCCGCCATGTAAAAAAACGGGAACGCGTCCGGGCACGGTACCCCTTGGGTGACGAGGAAAGCTGTGCCACTTGGTGTTCTGCTAATTGCCGCGATTCTCTCATTCAGAGGCAAATTGGCGCATCTCTTTTTTTCTCTTTTTCCTTTTTTCGTTCTTTCTCCCGTTGCAATTTCACAAACGCACGCGCCCGCGCCGCTTTTACGCGCGCGACGAGCGCGCCGCGTGCTCTGTGAGAAAGTCCGAGCGGTGCCTCGAGCGTGCAGACGCGACTGGCGATTCTAAGTAGTCGGTTTCGATCGCACGAAATTCGCCGCGGGATTATCCCGGTTGTCGCATCGTGTCGCGTTATTTGTCCACGTAATATCTACGCGTGAGAGAGAGAGAGAGAGAGAGAGAAAGAGAGAGGTGACTGTACCTCGTCGGCCGCCCTGGCGTTCCGCTAATTTGGGCGCGGCTCGCTACGCACTAATCGCTCTAATCGCACTCTAATCGTAAATAAACTCCAAACAACCGTTCTGCGAAATAATTACACCTGCATCCCCAAGTGTACGCGAGCTGCATCGTAATTTTCGATCTTCGTCGTTAACACTCGCGATATACGTGTGCCTGCACGGTAAAAAATTTTATGTTGCAAACGGCCCGCCTGATTTTTTGTTATCTTTATGCGGGGAATATGTTAAGACGCATCGCAAGTGTATTAAAATAACGTTCATCTTGTTAAGATATTACTTTTTAACACATTCACTTTATTGAAGTAGTACAAAAATTTTTTACTATATATATATATATATATATACTATAACTGTTTCCGGGTTAATTAAAGAAGCCTCTACACGTAGTTACTTTCGTTTATTAATAGCTCGAAATTGTGATTATTTGCAAAATGATGGAGGACTTTCCTGTCCGGTCTAACTCGTTTCATCTTCACGCGAGCGATTGGAGAAAATAGTTCGGGGACACCTTCAGTCTCGTTCTTCCTGTCCTTTCCTTATATATTCTTTTTTCAATTAAAATATCTGATCGATACTCCTCACGGGGTTTTTCCGGCGACGCGTAACCGGCAGACGCGCGAGGTATGTAACGGCTCGTCGTAAATCGGGCTTCGCCTAACGTTTTCTGCATAGGACAGAAAGTCTCACTTTAATGAGTGAAACCTGTATCTATTAAGGCTTTAACGCCCATCGTTACGGCAACGCGTATACCGGCAACGGTAAAAATGGTCAATACGAATGCCGAGCGATTAAATTCACGAGAAAGCGCTATTAACACATTATTGTGCACGATTGTTCGCGATGTGCCATTGTTCGTGCGGGGAGAACACACGTCAATCGTGTACTCACCGCCTTCGAGGACGACTCGACGTGTGTGCGCGCGCGGCGACGTTAACGAAAAACGGTAACATCTCCTCGCGCCTACTTACCTACTTAGCATTCCTACGTAGCCGCTCTTCGATCTTCTTCTTCTTCTTCTTCCTCTTCGAAAAACCGTCTAATGCCCTTTGCCCGCCGCTTCCACGGACCCCGAGAACCTGCTTGGTCACCGTCCCATTTCGTTAACCCGTTTCCGCTACTAATAACCTCCGATTGCCACTCACGATGATTGTGAAGAAGTTATTCACAGCGTGGCGGTCTCGAATGAAAATGACAACGGTCGCTGGCGAGCATGCTGCACGGATAAGGGAGAGAAAAAGAAGAAGAACTAGTAGTAGTAGTAGCAGTAGTAGTAGTAGTAGTAGTAATAGAAGAAGAAGAAGAGGAGGTGGAGGAGGAGATGGAGCAGATTTGATGATCTTTATCAAAGCCGACAGTGCATCGAGCGAATAAAGCTAAGGTCGCGAAGTGCCTGTCTCCAATTCTTCTCTCTGACGGACTCACGTTAGGTGCCTGCACAAGTGTCTATATGTACAGACACCTCTGTGTGTGCGCGTGTGTTCAAGTACACGCTGACATATTACACGCCTGTCGTCCCGCAAAATATATCTTAACGTAACGCGTGATTTTGCATATTCCGCGTAA